TAGTTACTATTGAACTTGAATAGGAAGTCATATACTGGCATTATAAATGTGACATTAAAATTGACCTTTGTCCTACTTTTCACCATAAACTGAACTTTGCAAATTTTGCTTCCCTTTTATCTCCAAAACTGGCAGAGATAGGTCCATAGTTACTATTGAACTTGAATAGAAAGTCATATACTGGCAATCTAAATGTGACCTTGAAATTGACCTTTGACCTACTTTTTATCATGAACTGAACTCTGCTAATTTCTTTCTCTTTTAACTTCAAACTTGACAGAGATAGGTCCATAGTTACTCTTGAACTTGAATAGGAAGTCATATACTGGCAATTTACTGTGACCTTGAAATTGACCCTTGACCTACCTTACGAAGAACTTAAATTTGATTGTACCATATATATTTTTTGCAATAGTTTAAAAATTCTTGTTGATTGCATTTTTACAGCTTGTCAAGCACAAAACTGGTGGCTATGTCCCTTATTTTGTGTATGTGGGGGTCTATACGAATGCGCTTGCTCCAGCTGGTGGTACAATATTCGGAGGCGGTATCGCCTCTCTGATCCTCTAGTTTATACTTGGATCATTTCTCAGGTTCTCTGACAATGTGTTGAACGGTTTTCAATGATGCACAGTACCAAATTTATCATTGCAGTGAAAATGAAATTGGTCCTTGCTGTATTAACTTGATTTCTGTAAGAATTAGCTGGAGGTAGAGAGTGGGAGAGGGAAAGAAAGTTACTATTCCTTTGCTTTCTGAAATGAAGTCAATGCATTATAAGAAAAAATTTAAATGTAACATATGAAGATGTGCTTATCAAATTAAGTTATTTTCATAATGAGATCCACTCCAGTAAGATCTGCTCATTGAATCAACTTGCACAATCACACACTTCAATCCTCTGCTCAGGTTCTACTTTGTTGGTGATGAAGACTTGCTGGAGATCATTGGTAACAGTAAGAACATCCCCAGGCTGCAGAAACACTTCAAGAAGATGTTTGCTGGGGTCAGCGCCATCCTGCTCAATGAAGACAACACAGTGGTGCTGGGGGTCTCTTCAAAGGAGGGAGAAGAGGTGCGTCATTTTTTTATTTTAAACAACGGCAATGAAATTTCTTTAAATGAACATTTTTGAAGCATATAAAAAAGTACAGTTGTTTTATCATCCTTAAGTGATGTTCCACTCTTGGGATTTTTTTCTTTGTCTTGAACACAATGTGGCTATAATTTAAGTTATTGAATCAAAAAGATTTATGTGCCAATGACAATATTATGAACTTCTGACAAGTGAAATTTTATGAAATTATGAAGTTTTTGAGAAATTGATATTTATAACATATAGATTTTCAAGAAATTTATATGTATAAATTCTGTTTCCCTCAGGTGATCTTCCACACCCCAGTGTCAGTGGCTGACCACCCTAAGATCAATGAGTGGCTCACCCTGGTGGAGAAGGAGATCCGGCTCACCCTGGCCATACTGTTGGCCCAGGCAGTACAGGGGGTGGCTGCCTTCAAGACAGAGAGCATCAATGCTCAGCAGTACCTGGAGTGGATTGACAAGTATCAGGTGGGTTCTGGGGGATCTCAGTTATTATGATGTATAAGGAGTGGGGTAGTTTGGTGGTGGTGAATTGAGTTTTACTTAATTTATGGTTTCATTTTCTAATCACATGCATTGATTGCACTTTAGGAACTGTCCTTGTGCCTGGATTTTTATGTTAACGTGTAAATATGAAAAGAACATTTATGCAATTTCACCATATCTAAAGATTCCATTTATAACATAAAAAGGATATTATTCTAATATAACATGAATGGCAAAGGGGGCTTACTTTATATCGAATATCTGTTGTCTAATATGCTCTGTTATCTCTAATACAAACCTAATACTCATCCCTATTTTCCCACCACTCCAGGGCCAGCTAGTGGTCCTCGCCTCCCAGATCAACTGGTCAGAGAACGTGGAGGCAGCTCTGCAGCAGATCTCTAGCTCTGGGAAGACTGGTGACCTGAAACCCATGGAGAATGTCCTGTTGACTGTCCAGTCCACCCTCAATGTGCTGGCCGACTCTGTCCTCCACGAACAGCCACCTGTCAGGAGGAAGAAGATGGAACAGCTGGTCAGTGGGTTGTCTTGAACAGGATGTTTTTGTGATCAATCCACTCTTAATTCATTATTTTCTTTCCATTACAAATAGAGCTCCATGGTGTTAAAAATTAAATTATTATTTTGTTCCAAATCTATACAGCTCCTTGGTGGAGAAAAAATTAATTGTTTCGAGAAAAAAAGCTAATTTCTTTCCAAAAATATTCAACTTCATAGTTTGAAAAAATTTAATTGTTGGAAGGAATTTTTTTAAATTCCTTCTTAAACTTATGACATCTCCATGATGTGGAACATTCACTAACTCCTCTGTCTACTTCCAGATCACAGAGCTGGTCCACCAGCGTGACATCACCAGGATGCTGGTGGAGAACAAGGTCACCAACCCCAAGGCCTTTGATTGGCTCATGCAGATGCGCTTCTACTTTGACCCCAAGAACCCTGATCCCCTGCAGCAGCTGTCTATCCAGATGGCCAATGCCAAGTTCAACTACGGCTTTGAGTATCTGGGTGTCCAGGAGAAGCTGGTCCAGACCCCATTGAGTGACCGCTGTTACTTGACCATGACCCAGGCTCTGGAGGCCAGACTTGGAGGATCTCCATTTGGTAAGGGATGGTGCTAGACAAGTGTCTGTCTATGTATATTTATGCATTTTTGTGTTGTGATTGTTTGGTCTTAAATTGTGAGAGTGGGTGCAAACTTTCAGAGCTTTAATTGGTATTTTGCCTGCCAGAAAGGGCTCTGGTCTTTTTTTTCCTTTGTATTCATTGACTTTTCAATTGTGTCAGCTTTCCCACTTTTCTTTGAGTTGACACCCACCAGATAACATGGTTTATCTATTATGTTTTCAGGCCCAGCAGGTACTGGCAAGACAGAGACTGTGAAGGCCCTGGGCAACCAACTGGGAAGATTTGTACTGGTCTTTAACTGTGATGAGAACTTTGACTTCCAGGTATGGATTAACATAAAAAATAATGTTTATTTGCTACTAAATTAGTCAGATTGTACAGTAATTTAAATTGTAATTGAGAGAAGTTGTGATGATGCTACCTTAGTCATGATGCTGTCATTACTTATGCTCCAAAGAAAGTTTAGAGGCATCTGTTTACCATGAAATACACTTTGTAACATTTCCTTCCAAGTTATAGTATTATTTCTCCCTGTATTTCAGGCAATGGGCCGTATCTTTGTTGGCCTGTGCCAGGTGGGTGCCTGGGGTTGCTTTGATGAGTTCAACCGTCTGGAAGAGCGCATGCTGTCTGCCGTCTCCCAGCAGATCCAGTCCATCCAGGAGGCTCTGAAGCAACTGGCTGACCAGGAGAAGAAGGGTAGGTCACATGTGTGAAATACTGACTGGCATATTTCTATTATGTACAAAAGCCTTCTGTGTACTGTAATTCAGGCACTTTGTAGGTTCATATCAAAACATTTTTGAAGATTCAACATAAGAATTCAGGTGAACAATGAAAAAGAGTTAAATGGCTTATTTTTAAGATAAGTGCACAAAAACATGTAAGATAATGCATTCTCTTTAGAGTTTATTTGCAAAGTTTAAGTATAATGTTTAGCATACTATTCAGTATTTTGTGATACTTATTGAGTTAACCTTAACACATGTACACAATATCTTCAGGTAACACTGTCACAGTGGAAATCATTGGCAAGACCGTGAAAGTCAACCCAGACATGGCCATCTTCATCACGATGAACCCTGGATACGCAGGACGCTCCAACCTGCCTGACAACTTGAAGAAGTTGTTCCGCAGCCTGGCTATGACTAAACCTGACCGCCCCCTGATTGCACAGGTGATGTTGTACTCACAGGGATTCAGGATGGCAGAGAAGTTGTCTGCAAAGATTGTGCCCTTCTTCAAGTAAGGATGATGATTTTAGATTGTTAATTTAACAACATTTGCTAAGATTTATATAAGATCTTGTACAAGGACTTTTTTATTTGCTCAGTGATAGGTCCTTCGTATTCTAGTATCAGAACTAATGATGGATTGTGAAAACACTGTAGTTATAAGTTTCTCTCAATAAAATAATAATAGCAGCAATTATGATGATACTGATATTGATGATATTGATAATCATATTTATCTGCAAAGTCGGTATAACTAAAGGTGAATAGTAAGAAAACTACAATTTTGAAATAGATAATTCACCTGCTTAGTAAATAAGAGGGAACTTTTACTTGATTTTATGGAGTTTTTCTGTCACAAAACAGGTTTAAAATGCATTTATATATGTTTTAGTCAATGGTTGTATCAAAAAGTGAGAGTCTGTATGTCTCTCTGCTTCAGCTATCTTGTTATAACTAAAATTCATCGTTCATTAAAATTCATTCTTTATCCATTTTCAGGCTGTGTGACGAGCAGCTCTCCCCCCAGTCTCACTATGACTTTGGTCTCCGTGCCCTGAAGAGTGTACTGGTCAGTGCTGGCAATGTGAAGAGAGAGCACATCATGAGGGTCAAGGAGCAGATGGTGGCCAGGGGAGAGCAGGTGGACGAGGCCTCCATTGCTGAGAAACTACCTGAACAGGAGGTAAAGATTTCAGTGTGCTCTGCCATATTGTATGTGATAAAGCTGGGCATGTCAAGGCATTTTTAATTAGTAAACAAAAATTATTCTTCCAAGTTGCATTATTTTTCTTTGGCCAGTCAAAGATAATTGCTGCACTACAAGTAGGTGAGAAGAACTGTTGAGTAGAGAATTTTTTTTTTTTTAATGAATTTGTTCTTTTCCATTTTGGCAGTTAGACTTAATCAGTATACAGCATACATTTAAGAATTCTGTTTTGGTCTGGAGACAGCTCTTATCTTCCCAAAGGTTTATCAATTCTGTCATTGATAGCTAAAGATTGATTCATAAATCAGAAAAAAAAAACTTCATGAGTAGATCCTGACCCAGTTTGTTTTATAGGGCCAGGTTGGAGAATCTAACATAATATTAACAGTGTAATGTTCATATAATGACCCTGGTTTATCTTTTGTCCAGATCCTGATCCAGTCTGTGATGGAGACTGTTGTCCCCAAGCTGGTGGCTGAGGACATCCCCTTGCTGAACAGCCTGCTATCTGACATGTTCCCTGGTATCCAGTACACAGCTGCTGAGATGTCTGCACTGAAGCAGGAGATCAGGAAGGTCTGCCAGGATATGTACCTGTCCTGTAACGAGGAACAAGGGGGCACCTGGCTGGAGAAGGTAAAACTGAGACAGCTTTGGAATTCAGGATAGAGAATTTTAGGGGGCTGCAGATTTTGAATCACAGATAGTATGACAAAGGTTAATTCCTCGGATTGTGGAATGGTTTAAGTGCATACACCAGGAAAATGAAATATTTATGAAGGAAAGGCATGATTGGAATTTAAATTAGATCATGAATTTTATGGAAAATTAACTTTTGTAACAGTAAGATATTACTAAAAAAATCCTTGGTTTATTCTTCCAGGTTCTTCAGTTGTACCAGATCAGTCAGATCCACCATGGTCTGATGATGGTGGGACCCAGTGGCAGCGGGAAGAGCACAGCTTGGAGAGTGCTGCTCAAGGCTCTGGAGAGACTGGAAGGAGTGGAGGGGGTGGCTCATGTCATTGACCCCAAGGTAAGGTTTGATCTGGAGCAATTTGTACATGTTAGAATCTTTAATGTAAAATAAATGTCATTTTGCTAAACTTTCACCCCCCTAGCTCTACTTAACTTTAAAAATTGTTTATACAAAAGTCATAGTTCAGATCCAGTGTCCTTTATTTGATTTCTGGTCTTAAATCTGAATGGTCAATGATCATTTATTTTCAGTCCATCTCCAAAGAGGCTCTGTATGGCACACTGGACATCAACACCAGGGAGTGGACTGATGGATTGTTCACACACATCCTCAGAAAGTAAGCACACTATATACAGAAACGATTGTTTAAAATTAGAACTTCTTTACAGACACAATTGTTTAAAACCTAGGGAAAGATCTTAATCAGAACTAGGACTTCTAAGAAAGTAAGATCTTTTATACACAAAGACACAACTGTTTAAACCCTTGAAAAATATATGATCAAGAAAAAAAAACTAGAACGTCTTAAAATGTAAAGTGGCACATCAAGAAAAATTAAGTTTTAATCAGTTTGGAGTTGCAATAAAGATAGGAATGTAGGTATCCACGTCTTGTCATGCCAACTGAAAATTTTCAACTTTATCTTCACTAACTGGCTGTGTGTATTTTAGGATCATAGACAACGTAAGAGGGGAGATCAACAAGCGCCAGTGGATAGTATTTGATGGAGATGTGGACCCAGAGTGGGTGGAGAACCTGAACTCTGTGCTGGATGACAGCAAGCTGCTCACACTGCCCAATGGAGAACGTCTGGCCATTCCACCCAATGTAAGCCAAGAATTTTCTGAAATGGCCTGTAGTAGATTGTGTGATAATTGTTTTAATGTGTATGCCAGAATCTTACATATATTAACTAGAAAACTAATTTAAACTTTGGTGGGGTCTCCATTCTCTCTGGAGCTAGAGTTCGGGGGTAGAAACCCAAATGCTACACAAGAGACAGTGCTGGTTTCATCTCAGAAATGTTTTACTGATTTATAACTTTGTTGTTGTTGTTATTATTATTATGATTATTATATATTTTTATTTTTTATTTTTTCAACTGAATTTCAGGTGCGCATCATGTTTGAGGTCCAGGACCTGAAGTACGCCACCCTGGCCACTGTGAGCCGCTGTGGTATGGTCTGGTTCAGTGAGGACGTCCTCTCCACTGAGATGATCATAGACAACTACATGAAGAAGCTGCGCAATGTTCCTGTGGAGGAGGGAGAGGAGGAGAAACCTACCGCCAAACACGGGGCAGAGGCATCGGAGGATGACCTCTCACCTACCATACAGGTATGTGGTCATTTACTGCATGAAAGTGTTTTCTGTTGTTCATAGACCCCTCAGCATTTGGTGTAAATAGATATAAGGGGAAAATTAACTGTTCAGCAATATAAAGTTTCCTAAGTCTTAAGCATTTTGAAGTGTGATTGTATATATTTTAAGGTAACTTTATCACATATGGCTTTAGCCCATATTGGTATATTTCATAATTTTTTAACACATATTATATGGTATTGGTTGTAAAGGAATGTATTAAATGATGTGTGCCCCAGTTAAACAGTTAAAGCTTAGAGAGCTATTGTGTGAAAATATCTCTAAGCACACCCAAAAATATTTTTGAATTCCTTCAAAGAACTACTTGCATTTCATGTTATATCTCCTATTTCAGACCCAGAGAGACGTGGCAGCCATCTTGATGCCGTACTTTGCCTCTGATGGTCTGGTGATCAGGTGTCTGGAGTATGCCTTCAGCCTGGAGCATGTCATGGACTTCACGCGTCTACGTGCCCTGGGCTCCCTGTTCTCTATGCTCAACCAGGCAACCAGGAATGTGCTCACCTACAACCACAACCACTCTGACTTCCCAATGCAGGTAAAATATGGAGAAGTGATGGACAGTTGTAGTCCCTATCAGAAAGTGTGCAATCAAATCCATTGTTGAAAGAATTCTAGGATGCCACTTATATTGCTTCTCTGACTGTTTATCAAATGGATGATGAAGTTTGAATTAGAATTTCCCAGG